CAAATCTTTAAAAATAAATAAATAAGGGCACCTGGGTAGGTCAGTCGGTTAAGTGACTGCCTTTGGTTAAGGTCATGGTCCCGGGGTCCTGGGATCAAGCCCTGTATCAGGCTCCCTGCTCAGCGGGGAGTCTGCTTCTCCCTCTGCCTCTCCCCCTGCCTGTGCTCTCTCTCTCTGTCAAATAAATAAACAAAATCTTTTAAAATAAATAAATAACGTAAAAATAAAAATACATTTTTGTAAGGCTTTATCTCTTATAGATGGTGATTCTTCCAATGGAATTCAGCAAAGTAAACTGAAGACCTTTGGGAAAGGATCTGCCATTCTAGATGGCATTAAAAACATTCACGATTCATGGCAAGAGGGCAAAGTATGAACAGTAACAGGAGTTTGGAGAAAAGTTGATTCGAACCCTCATGGGTGACTCTGAGGGGGTTCCAGACTTAAGTGGAGGAAGTCAGTGGAAATGTGCTGGAAACAACAAGAGAACTAGAATTAGGAGTGCCGCCTGAGGATTTAACTGCATTGCTGCAAGCTCATGATCAAACTTTAACAGATGAGGAGTTGTTTCTCATAGATGAGCACAGAAAATAGCTTCTTGAGAAGGAATCTACTGGTGAAGATGCTGTGGAGATTGTTGAAATGACAACAAAGGATTTAGAAATTACATAAATTTGGTTGACAGAGCTGAGGCAGGTTTTGAAAAGACTAACTCCAGTTGTGAAAGTTATACTGTGGGTAAAATGCTATCAAATAGCACTGCATACCACAGAGAAAACCATCCATGAAAGGAAGAGTCAATGCAGCAAAGGTCATTGCTGTCTTAAGAAACTGCCAAAGGGATGCCTGGGTGGCTCAGTCAGTTAAACATCTGCCTTTGGCTCAGGTGATGATACCAGGGTCGTGGGATCCAGTCCCTCATCAGGCTCCTTACTCACTGAGGAGCCTGCTTCTCCCTCCCTGCCACTCCCCCTGCTTGTGCATTCCCTCTCTCTCTCTCTGACAAATAAAGAAACAAATAATCTTTAAAATTTAAAAAAAAAAGGAAAGAAAAAAGAAATTGCCACAGCCACCCCAAGCTTCAGCAACCACCACCCTGATCACGCAGCAGCCATCAACACTGATGTGGGCACCAAAAGATGAAAACTCACAGATAGCTTAGATTATAGTTAATGTTTTAGCAATAAAGTATTTAAGGTATAACTGCATATTTAATAAACTACAGTATTGTGTAAACATAACTTTTATACATACTAGGAAACCAAAACTTCACTTGACTCACCTATTACAATGGTCTGAAACTGACGCTACAATATCCGCAAGGTAAGCCTGTATCTGTTATCAGCATCATCTACTGAAAAAACTGTTCTTGCCCCCACCGAACTGTGCTGGACCCTTGTCAAAAATCAAATGACCTTAAATGAAAAGGCTTATTCTCAAACTCTCAACCCCTGTCCCATCAATCTACATGTCCATTTTATGTCAGTAATATACTGTCTTGATACGTAGCTTTACCATAAATTTTGAAATTAGGAAGTGTGAGTCCTCCAATTTTGTTTTTCTTTTTAAAATTATTTTGGCTAATCTGGGTCACTTCAATTTCTGTATGAACTATAGAATTAGGCTGCCAATTTCTGGGCACCTGGGTGGCTCAGTGGGTTAAAGCCTCTGCCTTCGGCTCAGGTCATGATCCCAGGGTCCTGGGATCGAGCCCCACATCGGGCTCTCTGCTCAGCGGGGAGCCTGCTTCCTCCTCTCTCTCTCTCTGCCTGCTTCTCTGCCTACTTGTGATCTCTGTCAAATAAATAAATAAAATCTTTAAAAAAAAAAAAAAGAATTAGGCTGCCAATTTCTATAAAAAAGGCACTAGGGGGGCACCTGGGTGGCTCAGTGGGTTAAAGCCTCTGCTTTCAGCTCAGGTTATGATCCTAGGGTCCTGGGATTGAGCCCTGCATCAGGCTCTCTGCTCAGCAGGAAGCCTACTTCCTTCTCTCTGCCTGCCTCTCTGCCTACTTGTGATCTCTGTCAAATAAATAAATAAAATCTTTAAAAAAAAAAAAAGGCACTAGGGTTTTAATATGGATTGCATTAAATTCGATTAGTTTGGGGAAAATTGCCATGATATATGCTGAATTATGTCCTCCAAAAAGAAATGTTGAAATCCTAATCCCCAGTACCTCTGAATATGACCATATTTAGAAACAGGGTCTTTGCAGATGTAATCAATAAAAGGAAGTCATACTGGATTAGGATGGGCCCTAAGTCCAATGGGTGGTGTCCTTATAAGAAGGTCATATGAAGTTAGCTTTGGTCATTTTTATGTAAAAGATTTTAGAATTCCCATGAGTTCAATTAACTTCCTTCTATGTCTTCTCAGGGTTCTTTCCTTGTGGATGGCAAAGCTACAAATATTGACCAAAATAAAACAGTGGAGTTGGGGAATTGTTTATGTGGCTCTCCATCTCAAATGATTTTCTACAACTAGCTGAGTTTGACCAATCAGACTGATTTGAATGCATTTGAAAATAAAATCTGTACCCGGGGGCGGGGGGGAGAGGACCCATGAAGACACAGGGACACATAAAGTCACCGAGGAGAAGGTCATGTGAAGACAGAGACAGAGAAATGAGTGATGCATCTGCAAGCCAAGGAACACCATGGACTGCCAACAACCACCAGAAGTTAGGAGAAGCATAGAACAGATTCTCCCTTAGAATCTCCACAAGGAACCAATCCCACCAACAGTATGTAGCCTTCCATAATTGTGAAAGAATAAAGTGCTGTTGTTTAAGCCACCGAGTCTGTGGCAATTTGTTATGGCAACCCAAGGAAACTAATACACCATCTGCATAGTATCAGATCTCCCGATCCATAAGTATAAGATGTCTTTCCATTTACTTAGATCTTCCTCAATTTCCTTCAACAATGTTTTGTAGTTTTCAGTGTACAAGACTGGGACTTATTTTTTTAAAGTAATCTTTACAGGGGCACCTGAGTGGCTTAGTTGGTTAAGCATCTGCCTTAGGCTCAGGTTATGATCCCAGAGTCCTAGGATTGAGCCCCACATCAGGATTCCTTGCTCAGCAGGGAGTCTGCTTCTCCCTCTCCCCCTCACCCAGCTCATTCTCTCTCTCTCAAATAAATAAAATCTTAAAGAAAAAAAAAATCTCTATATCCAATAGGGCCTCGAACTCATGACCCCAAGATCAAGAGTCATGCTCTGCCAACTGAGCCAGCCAGGCTCCCCAAGTCTTGCACTTCTTGGGCTAAACTAAACTAATTCTTAAGTATTTTATTCTTTATGATGCCACTATAAAAAAACTGTTTTCTTAATTTCATTTTCAAATTGCTCATTGCCAATCTACAAAAATGCAACTGACTTTTCTACATTGATCTTGTACCCTGCAACTTTGCTGAACTCACTTATTAGTTCTAATAGATTTTTGTGAATTCCTTATGTTTTTCTATATACAAGATCATGTCACCTGTGAATAAAAATGGTTTAACTCCTTCTCCTCTCTTACTTCCTCCTTTTATTTATTTTTCTTGCCTAACTGTCCTGGCTAGACCCTCTAGAACAAATGCTGAGTAAGAGTGGGGAGGGCAGACATTTTTATTCTCTTCCTGTTTTTACGGAAAAAGCATTCAATATCCACCAATTATGATATTAGCGTGGGTTTTCACAGATGCCCTTTACCAGGCTGAAGAAGTGCCCTTCTGTTACTGCTTTATGTAGTTTTTATCATGAAAGGGAGTGGAATTCTGTCAAAGGTTTTTCTTCATCTCTTGGTATTATCACATGTATCCTTAAGATTTAAACACAATTAGAGCTAATTCTACACTCTAGAATTAGAGTACTGAAACATGAAATGGTAAGCAATTTCATGTTAATTGTTTCATTATCTATATATAATTCCTCCCCTACAGAACTCAACAAGTTAGTTTCTTTATGTATATGTCAGTAATAAAGCTTTGACAATTATTCAATTTAACTACCACTTTTTCTTTAAAATACAACCATATTGGTAAATTGAATATATTTTATTTTTTAAAGAACAGAATATTATTTTATTTTTTTCTGAAGATTTTATTTATTTATTTGACAGACCGAGATCACAAGTAGGCAGTGAGATAGGCAGAGGGAGAGAGGAAGGGGAGCAGGCTCCCGGCTGAGCAGAGAGCCTGATGCAGGGCTCGATCCCAGGACCCTGGGATCATGACCTGAATCGAAGGCAGAGGCTTTAACCTACTGAGCCACCCAGGCACCCCAATTGAATATATTGTAGCCCTTAAGAGCAAATAAATAAAAGCCTCCAAGAAACTTGAAACCTAGAGGCAAAATAAATAACCATTTTCATATATAACAGGAGAGGAATGCATATACCAGGGAGAGTGGAATACGAGAGAAGGTTCCCAAAACACAAAAATGTAGTATTTATGGGATGCAGAGGAGTTAATCCAGACAAAGAGGGAGAAAAAAGTATTCCACATAGAAGAAATTGTATGTGCAAAGGTACAGAGTGAAGAATTGCATGCAATTCGATGTTACTAATAAGGACTGATTTGATACATGCACATGTCTGTGGCAAGAAAAAGCTCTGCTACCAAGAGATGACTCTCTGGAGATACAGGTCAGAGTTCTCATTTCAGAGTTCTAATTTTATTCTTCTCATTCAGACTGATACAGTCCATTGTGAACAAAGAACTTTTTAACTACATTTTACCTCATACTGATACAACATATTCTGCTCCAGCAGGAAAAAAAAAGTAGATAGAACATTGTATCATAAATATATTCATATAAATTCACATACATACCACACATACACTTACCATTTGTTCTCCTCCACTTTATCAACATATTCTGGATTTTTATCTACTACCTAACAGCTAGCTTTAAGGAGTCTTTGATTATAGCACATTATTTGCTTTCTCTAAGGCTCTTTCCTCTACATACTAACTTTATTTACCATTACTAAAAATTAAGAAATATTACCAACCTATTGCCACTTGGATACTGTACTACAATGTCATGATCTTCATCAATGCCACAAACAGTTCCAGTTGTAGTCAAAGTCTCAAACATGCCATCAGTCCATCCTCCATGACCATGCTGCAAAGACTGTACAATTTCTAGGTCGAGATCTATATTTACCAAGTCACCGATCTGCAATCCACCAGGATTCCTATTGCCATTTTGCTCACCTGTAATTACAGAGGGAGTTGAGAGAGGAAAAGGAAAACCACAACAATATCATGCAACTGCATTATTTTTAAATAAAAACAAGCTCTAGATATTTTCATCTTAATCTAATCTTAAAATGTTTTGAGAGTATACTCAATAAATATCAGATTCTGGAGTTAACATCAATAAGAAAGAAAACAATCAGACTCACAAACTCAATGTGATGATTTATAACAATTGAACAAGAGCAGAATCTCTTAGACTATGCAAACCTATATCAAAGTTCAGGGTTTTGAAAACATTCACTTTTCTGCCTGGATGACCTGTTGACTATCCATGCAATAACCACACTACAATTACGTTATTGAGGTTCCGTAACTAACTACAGCCACAATAATTAGCTAGAGAATATGAAAGAGAACCTTGAAATTATTTTCTTCTCTGAACTACTTAGTACTATTTTTTACTAAATGACCCCTGTGATTTTTTTCCTAAGGAACATTTTTAAATATTTAAAAGTCCATTCCTTAGATTATTTTCAAAACTAGTTCTGATCAGGATTCATGATCAGAAAACACCATGACAAGGGACCCAAAATATATATGCTGATTCTACACTTTTCCTGTGAAGGCAAGACACAAAACAAGGAAGTTTCTGAAAGCAAGAAAAAGGGATGATATTGTCAAAAATATAAATATTTCTTCTACATTCTCCTTAAAAAAAAAAAAATCAGGATATGCTGTAAGAAAACAGCACTTTTTAGCCCAAAGGCAAATAAAGCTATTTAAAAAGAGGAACATAGGCAAGCATTAGGATACTAAAGCCTTAATTAGAAGAATGTGGTAAATATTTATCAGCAATAAAGAATCCGTAATATGAAAATAATATTGCTTTATCTTTTTCTTATTTAATGACACATGAAAATTTGTTAATTATATAACCTTATTTTTTCATTTTTGTATTTAGAAAGCGATTTTACAAAAATTCTAAGGAATTTATAAGCATTGTCAGATTCTATTATTAATATTTAAGACATAACTGAAAGTCTAACACAAAATTTCTTAACATGATTATAACCAAAAGACAAAGGTTTCAAAAAGATTATGACATATAAGTGGTATATCAATTCTCAAGATATGACAACTTCTTCAGAGTCTGAATAAATTAAAAAAACGCATACTTCAAAAACCAAAATAAAACCCAAAAAGTATCTCCTTAAATAACTTTTTTTAGAGCCTAATTTAAACATTTTCTGATTTCATGAATTCTGACACACTATTTAGTAATTTTCACTAGTCCGCTGACTCACCTAGCACAGGGCAGTGATCTCTGTAGAAAGAACCTCCCTTGGCATCCTGGACACACTTGAGATCAGACTAAGAAGAAAAGAAACCAGAAAAATCACGCTTGAAAACTTCAAGTATAGCTCAGTACCTAAAATAGGCAAAAATGTTCATTCAGAACATACCCTCCACAAAAGTTAGTAGCTCTAGGTTAACAGTCACACTAAACACTGCTTTCAAAAGCACCTATCAAAAATTAAAAGACTGATCCTCAGATAGGTCATACTTTATTTATCTTTAGCTTTCCTTGAAAGTTAAAAATTAAGATGCCTAGATCTTTACCATTAAAATACTTACAAAAACACATATAAGACCTCAACAAATACCTAGTATTTAAAATGTACATAACACATTCCATTTTAAAGATACTTTTACAAAATAAAACAGCACAACTCATTTGCTCTGTTCAGTCAATTTTATGACATACACAAGGCAGGTATTAACTCATTTAATAAAGAAAATTATCCAAAACTAAACAGAAAATAGAAAAGGATAGGACGCAATCCAGTCTTTGGTTCCTCAGCCAGTTAATTTTTCTGTTTATGTAAACTTTAGTCCTTCCTTCCTAACTTGGGCAACTCAAGTTCCTTCCCACTTAGTTTTTATAAGAAAACAAATTATTTTTTAAGTATCTCAACAGGGAGGCAGTTGTCAGAAAATGTGAACTTAGAAGAGCAACCTTGAGAGTTACTATAAACATTTAGATTTACTTTAAAGTGCCTAATAGTAGAAGGGGTCAGTATATACTTACTGTATTAAGGAAAGGAGCTCCCTTATAGAGAGAGAGAGAGAGGGACACACACATACACGCACACACACAACTCAACTCCCTTTTTTATAGCCTCCTTTGCCACTAGAGCATCACATTTCGCTCAGTCCTAGCCAAAGAGACACAGGGATCAAATTGTTTTAATGTGATACTTTAATCCAATAATTCCACTTTTAGGAATCTATGCTAAAAAAAATACAAGCATAAATGAGCACAAGGATGCTTACTGAAATGTTTGCAACAATTAAAACAAAAACAAAAACCCAGATACCATTAAGAGAAACTATTAAATAATGGCATGACCATACAGCGGAATACTACTCAGCCATCAAAAATGATCAACCTACACACACACACACACACACACACACACACACACACACACACAATATATATACACTACTATATATATATACTACTCATTAAGTACCTCTACACATATAACTCCTAAGGCTTCATCTGAAGCAATAATCAGAATCCCCCCAAAATTCACAATTTAAAAACAGGAGGAGGCATAAAAATACTAATGAAAAACTGAAAACTAATGCTATTTACAAGTATTAAAATTGGCAAATCAGGTATTTTTTTAGATTCACGTTGTTGGCTTTTTAATTTATCTCATATAAATATATTTATTCCACATAAATGGAATTTATGGATATGGGTTATGGACATGGGATAACCATTATCCCATATAAATGGAATAAATTAAAAAGCAAAGGGACAGTGGGATATTTTTCCCCTCCTACCAAGGGGCGTAAAACAGTTGGGACAAAACAAAAGTTAAAGAATTCTCTGAAGGAGGAATGTATTCAAGACGGAAAAGATATAAAAGGTATTAATACTTTGGCATTAATATTTAGTCGTACTCCATAAATTAAATACCTGAGGTCGACATTTGAACAGTGATCCATGAAATGCAGAAATATAGAGCAATCCATTGAATAAACCATCATTATTCTCCTAAACATGTAATTCGAAGTGTTTTTAGGTCAATCATTCTTTTTTTCCCACCGATTTTGTTTTTTTTAATTAACACATAATGTATTGTTTTAGGAGTACAGGTCTGTGATTTACAGGTCTTACACAATACCCAGTGCTCACCACAACACATAACCCTCCCCAAAGTCTATCACCCAGCCACCTCATCCAGCAACCCTCAGTCTGTTTCCTAAGATTAAGAGTCTCTTACGGTTTTTGTCTCCCTCTCTGATCTCACCTTGTTTTTATTTTATCTTCACTTTCCCTATGATCCTCTGCCTTGTTTCTTAAATTCTGCTTATCAGTGAGATCATACGGTAATTGTCTTTCTCTGACTAACTTATTTCACTTAGCATAATACCCTCTAGTTCCATCCATGTTGCTGCAAATGGCAAGATTTCATTTTTTGATGGCTCAGTAATATTCCATTGTGTATATATACACACATATATACACACATACACACACATCTTCTTTATCCATTCATCTGCCAGTGGACATCTCGACTCTTTCTGTAGTTTAGCTATTGTGGACATTGCTGCTATAAACATTAGGGTGCACATGCCCCTTCAGATCACCACATTTGTATCTTTGGTGTAAATACCCAGTAGTGTGATTGCTGGGTCCTAAGGCATTTATTTTCAGCTTTTTGAGGAACCTCCATACTGTTTTCCAGAGTGGCCACACCAGCTTGCATTCCCAAGATCATTTTCAACTACCAACACTACTCTCTAAAAATAGAGGGGGTGAGGGTTGCTGGGGGGAGGGGGGTTGGGAGAGGGGGGTGGGATTATGGACACTGGGGAGGGTATGTGCTATGATGAGTGCTGTGAAGTGTGTAAACCTGGCGATTCATAGACCTGTACCACTGGGGATAAAAATATATGTCTATAAAAAATTTAAAAATTTTAAAAAATAAAAATAAAAATAGAGGGGGAAAAAAATCTCCTTAAAAACAACTGTAACACTTACTATAATTTATACTTTTATTAACTACCAGAGCTAGAATACGAATATCCTATAAAAACCTCATTATAATACCATAGTCCATGTCCATCCTGAGGAGCAGCCTTATAGATGATTCTAAATCTTTTTGATAGATTTTAGTAAATAATCCCCTAACTCAGATTTATAAGGGATCAGCTCTACACAGTCAATATATGGTAAGCTACCCAAATATTAACTGAGGACAAAATCATATTTACTATCAAACAGCATAAGCAAATGTACTAAAAATGTAAAGTTTATTATAACCTCACTTTACAGATTTTCTTCCTACTGCAAAGTCATGATTCAGATGGCTATATTCTGACAAAAGAATATGACAAAAGGAAAAAAAAGGACTACAATAAAGGCTACTTTTATTTCCCTTTTTTCATCTATCCAATATTTTTATCTTTTGTGATTCTTACTACTCACCATGCCCTCAAAGCCAACTCTGTAAAGGTTCTTAGCACCATTATCCCAGAGAACATATGCTGCACTATGTGGGCTTGATGCACTCCAGTCCTGGATTTCTGTTACCTAAGAGAATTGCCAGGAAAAACAATTTTTTTTTAAAGCAGAGAGGATAAGTTAGTTCTTTTAATTACATTTAAAATGTTACGTATCATTTCAGCTATCATCTTATGTAACAGGATCATGAAAAACACTTGTCAAACATATGTCACTTCTAACAATATAACTCAATTATAACTAGAGATATAATTCCAGAATTATAAGATAATTTCTAAAATCATTATAGAAATTTTTAATTGGGAGGCTTAGTGATTATAGTAATAGATTACCAGAATATACATAACTCAATACAAAATTTTAAATTTTGATTCTTAAAGTGTTCCCTTTAAGAATAGTGTATTATTTTTTTTTAAGATTTTATTTATTTATTTGCAGAGAGAGAGATCACAAGGTGGCAGAGAAGGAGGGGGTGGCAGGCTCCTCACTGAGCAGAGAGCTGGATGAGGTGCTCAATCCTAGGACCCTAAGATCATGACCTGGGCCGAAGGCAGAGAGGCCCAACCCGCTGAGCCACCCAGGTGCCCCAAGAATAGTGTATTATTTTAAACCCATTATTCATTACAAAATTGAAGATCTTTAACCAGATATCCAGAATGATTTAAGATAAATCTGCTCTCTGGTGAGCTAAAAGTTGAGGCACAATGTTTGATGCCAATATTTAAGGAAGATGAGCTGACATCGCTCCTCCAGCACTATATCCCTCAGCTGCCCCAAAAGGCAAGAAACCCAAGCTATAACACCATGCCTACAATGGAAACCCAGACACAATCTCTAGGCCCCACACAAAACAGATGATTCATAAGCTCTTCTGACATTAAAACAAAACAATACAAAACAAAAACACTACCAACAACTGGGGTTGTTACTCCTTAAGGGCCAAGAATCAACAGCAAAAAAATAATACACAATCAGTGCTGAATTCGGGTGTTCTCAAGTAAACCAGTCTATAGCTAAGAATGGGAAGTTGAACATGTGTAACTCATTACTTTTCTCCATCCTGACACATTTAATCAGCCACTCTTTACAGTTACTTAGAATGCCAAGCTGATGTTAAATATAATTTTAAAAGCATGACCTTAAAACATAATTTTAAAGCATAACCTATTTCAAAAAAGATAATAATAATAATCCTTCCTTATTTTTACCCTGATTTAAAAAATCATTTTGCAAGTTATATATTTTATGATGTTTTTGTAAAGATAAAAAGGCTTTAAGATTTGGGACGCCTGGGTGGCTCAGTTGGTTAAGCAGCTGCCTTCGGCTCAGATCATGATCCTAGCGTCCTGGGATCGAGTCCCACGTAGGCCTCCTTGCTCATCACGGAGCCTGCTTCTCCCTCTGCCTCTGCCTGCCATTCTGTCTGCCTGTGCTCGCTCTCTCTCCCTCTCTCTCTCTGACAAATAAATAAATAAAATCTTAAAAAAAAAAGGCTTTAAGATTTAATCAAACATTTGAGAAAGATTTTAAATTATTATGTAAGTCTATTTATTTTTAATTTTGAAATAAATCATACATTATAAAAAATATTAACACATATAAACTTCAAAGAATAAAAAAATGAGGGGCATCTGGGTGGCTCAGTGGGTTGAGCCTCTGCCTTTGGCTCAGGTCATGATCTCAGGGTCCTGGGATTGAGCCAAATTGGTTGACTATTCAACTCTTTCTTTCAGCTCAGGGTATGATCCTGGGGTCATGAGATCCCTGCATCATGTTCCATGCTGGGCATGGAGCAAGCTTAAGATTCTCTCTCCCTCTGCCCCTGCCCCCAGTGCTTGCACTCTCTCTAAAATAAATAAATCAGGGGTGCTGGGAGGCTCAGTGGGTTGAGCCTCTGCCTTCAGCTCAGGTCATGATCTCAGTGTCCTGGGATGGAGCCCCGAATCGGGCTCTCTGCTCTGCGGGGAGCTGCTTCCCTTCCTCTCTATGCCTGCCTCTCTGCCTACTTGTGCGTTCTCTCTCTCTCTCTCTCTCTCTCGCTCTGTCAAATAAATAAATAAATAAAATCTTTAAAAAAATAAATAAATCCTTTAAAAAATGCTAGATCAAGTAAGTCTATATATTTTTTTACATTTTATTTATGGGGTGCCTATGTGGCTCAGTCGTTAAGCGTCTGCCTTTGGCTCAGGCCATGATCCCAGGGTCCTGGGATCGAGCCCTGCATTGGACTCCCTGCTCAGCAGGAAGCCTGCTTCTTCCTTTCCCACTCCCCCTGCCACTTCTGTTCCCTCTCTCACTGTGTCTCTCTCTGCCAAATAAATAAAAACTTTTAAAAAATATATTTTATTTATTTGAGAAGGAGACAGAGATAGCAAGAAACCACGAACAGGAAGGAGAGGGAAAATCAGGCTCCCTGCTGAGCAGGGAGCTAGTAGTGGGGCTTAATCCCCAGGACCCTGGGATCTTGACCTGAGCTGAAGGCAGATGCTTAACCGACTGAGCCACCCAGGCACCCCATAAGTCTGTATTTTTATAAGGGGCACAAAAATGCATTTGACTAAAAAACAAAGACTACAAAATTTATTTAAATCAAATTCATCTTATATTTCAAATTACTTCGGATATAAGGAAGTTCATTCGTTAAGCTCTGAATCCTAAATGAAATTCCTTCATTTGTTAATATGATCTGACTTATTGAGGGGGGAACAAAGTGGAAGGCTTAAGAAAGTAACTACATTAATCTTATAATTTCTATTCTGATTAAGAAAGATGTGTAGAATAGCTGCTAAAACCATTAGGTAAAAGGTTGCTGAGGAAAAGAAACTGACAATATCTGACAATATCATTGATCAATCTTAACCTCACTAACAATAATATAATCAGATTTTGCATGCCTGATGTGATGTACCAGAGAGCACAGTGCACTACTTATGAGGTTCTCTTGCCAAAACAAAATTGAACCCTAATCTAATCAAGCCTCTATCTCTAACAACTAGTTTATAAGAAACACGAGGGTTAGAGGAACAAGTAAAAGAATACCATAAAGAATCAACAGGAAAAATGCAGAGAACCTGATTTCTTCAACAAATAAATGGAATTTTTAAAAATTATTGACAATTTTTGAAATTGGGTTTTGGGTACATGGAAATTTTTTATACTGTTCTTTCTACTCTGATGTATGTTTGAAATTCTCCATAAAAAAAAGTTTTTTTAGGCATACCTGGGTGGCTCAGTCGGCTGAGCATCTGACTCTTGATTTCAGCTCAAGTCATGATGTCAGGGTTATGAGACTGAGCCCTGAGTCAGGCTCTGTGCTCAGCATGGCATTTTTCCTGAGATTCTCTCTCTCCCTCTCCTTCAGCCTCATCCCGCGCTCGCAAACACGCTCTCTCTCTCAAATAAATAAAATTTTTTTCAAATAAAAAGTTTTCTTAAAAGAAAGAAATACATCTAATGAACCTATGTAAAACACAACTGACACATATTCAAAAGCATTTATGAAATGAAAATAGTCTTCAAATACTAACAGAGTACTGGTACTTGAGAAACCCTTGAAGAATACACAACACAGGGGTGCCTGGGTGGCTCAGTCAGTTAAGCGTCTGCCTTTGGCTCGGGTCAGGATCCCAGGGTCCTGGGATCGAGCCCTGCATCGGGCTCCCCACTCGGCAGGAATTCTGCTTCTCCCTCTTCTGCTCCCCCTGCTTGTGTTCCCTATCTCTCTTTCTTTGTCTAATAAATAAATAAATAACATCGTTTAAAATTAAAAAAAAAAAAAAAGAAGACGATGACGACAACGGCTATACCAAACAGGGACGCCCGGGGGGCTCAGGTGATTAAGTGTCTGCTTTCAGCTCAGGTCATGATGGGTCCTGGGATCAAGCCCCCCAACAGATCAGGCTCCTTGCTCAGTAGGGAGCCTGCTTCTCCCTCTGCCTTCCACTTTCCCTATTTGTGCACGCTTTCTCTCTCTGACAAATAAATAAAATCTTTTAAAAAAAAAAATACACTACACATTTCCATGGTGTCTTTGCATCATGTTTCCCAAAGCCTACACTTGACATGCTTATTTTTGTATACGAACTTTGTTATCACCATTCAAATCATGGGACATGTTGGCGTGTGGTGGGCCAAAGACCGTGTCAGGGCTGCAATCTCAACCTGGGCTGGTATGTACCCCTTAATATAGCTCACACTGGCCAATTTAGTTGGACACATGCAGTAATAGTGATGGGGTGAGAATCCTAAGCCATACACACAGGTTAAAAAAAAAAAAATAGGTAAGATACTACACACTATTATGTTCTGCTTTGTCCTACTCATAAAACTTTGAGGGGGACCACAGTAAGCTTAGAACCAAAGAATACATAGTAACTCATCCCCTCTAACTATTCCTGGCCAAGGCCACCACTTCTGTCCTGCCTGAGGTCCTGTGTGAACCCCTGTGTTTCCCTGGACCTTGCCCACTGACTACCCCTGTCAACTACCAGGAAAGCAAAACAGGTTAGCCAGAGACTATTCAATTTATATTGCCTTGGGAGCTTTAATCTATAAGTGGCAATTCTCTCTATCCTTACACTAACTAAATTTGTGCTTGCTACTAGTCTTTTCAAAAATGAAATCCTAAACGTTGTGGGACACAGCATTATCCTACAACAATAAAGAAAAACAATGGAATAAGGATATCAAATATCCATTATCTTGGAGGCCCTTACAACTGTAAAAGGATAAAAAGTAGCCTTTTAAAGGTACCCATAACGTTCTATTCTCTAATCTGTATAGTGGGAACAAAAGTGTTCATTTTACTACTACTCTTTAAAAACTTCACGTTATTTTATACATTCTTCTGTATTATACAGAACTACTTTCACTGTGAAAGTTACTGTGAAAGTTGTTCACTACACAAGCGGCCTCACAAAAGAGAAGACTGGGCCTTACATCCAGCCCACACTCTACTTACCAAGACCTATACATTGGGGCAAGACTGTTCCTGCTCCCACCCACAAAAGCGTGCCTTCTCTTTGCAACACGCTTACCAAGCATGCCCCATAACATTCCATTCATCTAGAGATGGCACCTTTTCCAAATTCATACTACTCTATTTTCCTTTTCAAAGCAGGACTCCTTAAATTTTCACATGCATATAAATGACCTAGGGAATCTTGTTATAATGAAGATACTGATTTAGGAGGTCTAGAAGAAAGGGGACCTATTACCTTTCTAACCAGCTGTCAGGTAACACCTATGCTGCTGGTCCACAGCCCATACTACAGTCACAGAATTTAGATTTACATTTTTTGCCTATCAAATCTAATTAAAATACACATTACAGCGAAGTGGGAACTTGTCTCTTTTGTTCAATGCCATATCCCTGATGTTTGGAAGAGAACCTAGTATATACTAAGTGTTTAATAAATATTTACCAAATTTTTTAAAAAAGCAAAGTTGCTTCCTTAGTGAAAATCGAAGTACTTAAAATATAATAGCTAAAACACATATGTCTGACTTCCAAACATTAAAATTAGACCTTATTATTTAAAATGAAATCAACATAACACTCAAATAATAACTCAGAAAACATGTATTAGGAAAAAAAGAAAATATGTATTTGAAAAAAACATTAAAAATTTTAAATTCAAAAGGATCTATACTAAGCTACTCCAATATCTCTGCCTATCCCATCCCTATCAAATAAGCTATACAAAATTCCCTTCAGAATAACTGCTATAATTGATTCCTGGACAATTACCTGAGAAGGGTAACAGAGTTAAGTAAACTGGTTAACAAAAGTAGATGCCTATTACCTCCCCCCTACCCCAGAAACAGGCCTCAAGGGAATTAAATATAAAACAAGTACATTCAAATGAAAACTTAATAAAAAGAAAGTCAAAAGCATGATATACTACTTAGGGAAGACTGGCCCAAACAGCATGTTCAGAAATGCCTTCTGGCCAACAAAATGGCAACATGAAGCCAAAAGGCAGAAAGGTAAAATCTACACAACAACCTTCTCAATGAATATCAATATTTACAACAACGTGGGAATAATCTTTATTCTTCCAGAAAAAAAAGATTTTAAAAACTGTTACTGGTATAAGAAAAAATGGGCCAAGAAATTCAGTTATAGTAATAAAAATCTTCTGAACATACAATATTATAGAATAACATGATGAATTAATTTTAAAAAGTCACCTTTCCCCTTCGTCCATTTCCTCCATCCTGATCTTCCCATTGCCAGTCCACTCCTCTTACCACTCTGGCACCTGCGAAGATCCCTCTGGCTGTAATCTTCTTAGATTTTCTACGAGACTCTAACAAAACACTAAAAATAAAAGTATGTATTTTAATTTATATAAAAGTATATTAAAAATAATTTATTTATATATATGTAAATGTTTTTGAGTTGGGGGGTTGATGATCCCAAGCTGGCTCCACACCCAACAAAGAGTCCAATGCCAGGCTTGATCTCACAACCCTGAGATCATGACCTAAGCTGAAATCACGGGTTGGATGCTTAATGACTGAGCCAACCAGGTCCCCCGCCAGTAATTTTTTTTAAGATTTTTAAAATTCATTTTAGAGAAAAAGCAAGCAAGCATGGGGAGGGGGCAGAGGAAGAGGGAGAAGGAGAGAATCTCAAGCAGACTTCCCACTGAGCATGGAGCCTGACCCAGAGCTCAATCCCATGACCCTAAGATTGTGACCTGAGCTGAAACCAAGAGTCAGATGCTCAACCAATTGAGCCACTGAGGCACCCCAATTTATTTTTAAAAATAATAAAAAAGATTATTTTAAAAATACAAAAGATTTTTACTTGTTCTAGTTAATACGTTAACAGCATGACACATAAATACCTTTACACTCCACAGGTGAGAATGGTGACAACAGTTAGAAGAAAAATGATACCTAATATTCACTGAGCTTTTACTATAAGTAAAGCACTTACAAAAGTGTAAAAGTTCACTATACTCCTAAAGAGTATATTTTATCCATTGTTATGTTATTTTATCCATTTTACAAATGAGGAAACAGAGTCTCAAAGAGGTAAGTGATTTATCCAGGGTCACAAAACCTAAATAATAATGGAATGGAATCAACATATGAATCCAGCCTAACCACTCAGAGTATCACTATACCCTTCACCACTTTAGAAGTGGCAAACCCAAACCCCTACAACTGTGAGAAAAATAACATAAATTAAGGCCAAAAAGGTAACACCACAGCAATGACAAATGGCAAGTGGCACTTGATCCCAGGTTCAGGAAGACAAGAAGCAGTGGCAGGGACTCTGGTGAACTCAAGACCATGATTTGTCTTAAGGGTACAGATGCTCCTCTGTCAGCCAACTGTCACCATGAACAAATGCCCAGTGCTGACAGTCTTTGGGTATGTGTGTGTGTGCGCATGTGTGCGTTCAAAAATTTAGAGCACAGCACAGGCCAAGTAATATATCGGTGGCCTGAATGTAACCTAACGCTAACTTGTTTCCAAAGTACTGAATATTTACAGAGGACTATGGACCTTGAAAAAATTCTACCCTCAAAAATCTGGACCAGCTTAGTTCTCCAAGGCCATCTTTCCCTTATTCTTCTATATCCTTCTCATTCATAAAATCAATAAGGTTTGGGGTTTTTCCTTTTGTTTTGTAATTTTACTTCAATATTCTATTCATTTTTAGAATGTCTTTATTATACCTTAACTTTAAAACTTGTAAGCAAAAGGATAAGAATAAACAATATGCTCAGAACTACTCAGTTAATAAAAGCAGGACCAGGATTTGAACTGGGACAGTGTTTTTCTTTTTTTTTTTTTTTTTTTTTTTTTTTAGATTTTATTTATTTATTTATTTATTTATTTGACAGAGAGAAAGAGAGATAGCACAAGCAGGTGGAGTAGCAGGCAGAGGAAGTGGGAGAAGCAGGCTCCTCACTGAGCAGAGAGTCTGACATGGGGCTCAATCGCAGAACCCTGGGTTCATGACCTGAGCCGAAGACAGACACTTAATCAAGTGAGCCACCCAGGTGTCCCTGAACTGGGGAGGACAGTTTTATACCTAAATCCATTTTTCTACTACTCCTGCTGCTTCCCTATGACTGGCTAAATTCTTGCTCCTATACATTATTCTTACCTATCTACATAAGAAGACTCAATCACCTAAAACTCTGTACCAATTCACAGTTCATATTCCTCTCTCTCTGCTAAGACATTTAATACTAATAATCCCTGTATACAGTGTAAAATATCAAATGATATTCACTCCTGGTCAAATAATCCCTTAACTTATAAACTCTTTAAGAAGAAAAAAGAATTCTGTGCTTTAAGGGCACCTGGGTGGCTCAGTCCACTGAGCGTCCAAATCTTGATTTTGGCTCAGGTCACTGATCTCGTGAGATTGAGCCCCAAGTCAGACTCCACACTCAGCACAAAGTCTGCTTGAGATTCTCTCTCTCCCTCTGCCCTTTACCCTGCTTAGTCACACTCTCTTCTTTCACATAAATAAATCTTAAGGAAAAAAAAATACTGTATTTTAGTTATCTTCAAATTTATACAAGCAGAGTAGCTGCTACATAGTCTTAATGAACGCCTGTTGATTCAATCAATGGGCCCAGTGTTCATCTGGTAGCGATTAACAGAAGAGAATGCACAGTAAGAAGAAAATAGTGAGACTCTCTTGGGCTGCCCTGGCATTTCCAAATACTGAGGAGTGCCAAGTCTCCATGCCAGAAATAGAATAGCCCAGATTATCTTGAAAAAATACGTGCAACTCCATCTTCACAGAGCTCTTTTCTCACTATATGGCAGGCCAGGTCCACATTAGCCTAGTATCTCCTATGTCCTGGTACTAAACCAGCTGAAAGCAGCTATTTCCAAATCCTATTTTTGAGGCTAAATAATATAAAAAATTGAACGCCAACAAGGAATTACAACTGAAGAAAAACTGTTTACCCTACCGCTCACTTCCTGGTGTGGTAATTCTATAAAAGCGATGTCTTAAATGATGTTTATCTCCATGATAACAAACAGTGCACAAATCGTAATTTGTACATTCTGCACATTTCCATCGAATGCCAATGATTGGTTGCTGCCGGCAGGTATCACACATGGTTCCATCATGCTTGATGCCTATTAAAACAAAGATACATGCTTACATTAACTGCAAGAATTATTTACTTGAATATTACTCCCTGGGGGAAAAAATAGCACAACATTTTAAAAAGTAATTCAATAATTTTCTATCACTTCTTTCTTCATTAGTAAGAGTACTTCTCAGTAACACTTTTTTTTGCTGTCATCCACAAACTGAAACTTAGGTTCAATCTAGCAACAGAAAGAAGAATCATTTACTACCAAGTAGATGTTTCAGACTTCAAACATTCAGAATCTTTTGAGGAATTTGAACCTATTCTCTAGGTTAACAATTACTCCAAAAGAAAAAAAAGTTTTTCTTTTGGAGTAATTTTGGTCCTGGATCAAGCCCCGCATTGGGCTCTCTGCTTAACAGGGAGCCTGCTTCCCTTCCTCTCTCTCTGCCTGCCTCTCTGCCTACTTGTGATCTCTGTCTGTCAAATAAATAAATATAATCCTTAAAAAAAAAAAACAAAAACAAAAACAAAAAAAAAGAAAAAAAATTAAAAAAAAAAAAAGAAAGAAAAAGAAAACCTCCACACCCCAAACAACAAACTTCAGAAAAGGATTACCAAGTAAGTTTCTCAGTATAAAAGGAAACAATATACTATAGTCAAGATTGCTGTTAGTTTGTTTTCCTTACAGAACAAGAATACAGTCTGGAAAAAAGGAAAAAAGCATTTGGCAATATGATCTCCACTAAAGATGATAACATGAATGACATAGACAATTACAACTATAAAAGCGGGAGGGCACCTGGGTGGCTCAGTTAAGCGTCTGCTCTTGGCTCAAGTCATGGGTCACAATCTCAGGCTCCCTGCTTGGTGGATTGGGAATAATGTTCATAAGCATCTGCCTTCAGCTCAGGTCATGATCCCAGGGTCCTGGGGTCAAGCCCCACATGGGACTCCTTGCTCAGCAGGGAGTCTGCTTCTCCCTCTCCACTGCCTGCTGCTCCCCCTACTTGTGCTCTCTCTCTCTCTCCGTCAAATAAATAAAAAATAAATAAAATCTTACTATTCTATTTAGATCACCTGATAAATTAAAACTAGAAGTTTTTTAAACAATGTGGGATCTGTGAACATCAGTATCACTACTTTATGGTAATATACGATCAGGCCCAATACTGAACTACAAGCAAGGGCTGTATTGTCCATTCAACACTAACACTCTTGGATTTGAGTTCTGGCTTTCACTAGCTGTTACTGTGCCCTTGAAAGTCATTTTAACATTAGTATTTATATAAAAAATAATAGTATTTATTTCAAGAATTTGGGGAGCAGAGAAGTAAGGTGGGGTTTAAATGAAACAAGACTGCTCATGTTGAAGGTGGGTAAGAGGGATGTTCATTATATAATTCCCTATTTTGTGTTAAGTTTAGAAAATTTCCATAATTAAATAAAAGGATTCATTTTAGTTCTCAGAACCTCAGCTCCCTTTGGAGGAGGCATTATGTTCTTTAAAGGTAAGGGCTGTTCTAAGAATCAAGTAAGAATGTACTACATATGCGAGAACTAGAGCACAAAAATAGTAATGTTATTACTAATCTCTAAAAGAACTAATACACTAACTGCTGCTTCCTGGTAAGGAAAAAAAATGCATAATTAATTTTCTATATTCAAGTTTAAAATCCCATAAGGTAACTACTTTCTAAATAAAGAGTCAAACATGAAGATAAACTCGTGCCTGAGCGGAGATGGTTAAAAAAAACGGGGTGGGAGGAAGAACAGTAGAAGAAAGATGGGATGCCTAGTGAACTACCGAAGAGCAGGACACCCTACACCAAATATGTTTCATGTGCAATCCTTCCGCATCTCCTGCCACACAAATGTCTGACTGCATTTGGGCAGATGGCAGTTATCAGTATCTGCTGATTTCATTCCGTGACTATTTTATGCTACTGTGGGCAGACCCTCTGCTGCTTTCAAGTACCATCCCTAGTGTAGAATGGAGAACAGAGAGGAAGAAAATTAAAATGGCTAGAAAAAAGGGGTCAAATCATAAGAAAGTTACACAATATTTACACACGTGTAAATAATGGTACTTTAAGCCAGGATAAAGCTAGTAGAATTGGAGAGAAAACAGAAGTCAGGAAGATTAAGGACTTGATGCCTATGGGTTAGAAAACTAAAGATGTAGAAAGTAACAAAAAAAGTATAAATGAGATCATTCAAGAGAAAACAAATAGATAAGAAATATTCAGGAACAAACAGTACACTAGAACTGCACTGTTTTTTACTTTTAAAAAAAGAGAGAGAGCGCCATTAACAACAAAAAAGCACATACTTAAAATAGCAAGTCCAGGGAGGCCTGGGTGGCTCAGTCAGTTAAGCACCTGCCTTCAGCTCGGGTCATGATCTCAGGGTCCTGGGATCAAGCCCCGCATCAGGCTCTCTGCTCAGCTGGGGGCCTGCTTCCCCCTCTCTCTCTGCCTGCCTCTCTGCCCACTTGTGATCTCTCTCTCTCTCTCTCTCTCTGTCAAATAAATAAATAAATAAATAAAATCTTAAAAAAAAAAAAAAGAAACAAAATGAAAAAAGAATCAGGACAAATTTCCTAGAAATACTGGATGAGTAGAACTTTCAAAGGAATAAAGAAGAAATCTCAGAAGTACAGTGTGTATTCAGTGAACCAGGAGCAGCTTCATTTGTTTGGCAGGAATTTGAAATATCATCAGAGACTTAGAGATAAAATTATAGTCAGGCTGGGATATAACAAGATACAACATGATTTCTGACTGGCAGATTTAAATTGTTACATTAAATGGTAAAAACAAGAGTATTTGAGTTAAGAAACTAGTTCTCTAACTTTCTAGCTAGGTAATGTTCAGAATAAATTTAAACTACGACTCTGGGACCAATATTCTTATCTATACATGGAGAAAATACTTCCTTTCATATCTGCTATAAGCTGACTATATTTCCCTCCCCCCTAAATTTATGTTGTAGCCCTAACCTGCCACATGCTGATACCTGCAGATGAGACCTATGGGAGGTAGCTAGGGGTGAAGAGGTAACGAGGGTAGGGCCTCCAGTGTTCTTAAAAGAAGAGAAAGAGCTAAGAGGTCTCCCGCTCTCTGACACATGAGGACACAGCCAGAAGGCAACAAGCCAGAAAGACAGTCCTCACCCAGGAAGGGAATTAGCAAGCACCTTACTCTTGGAATGCCCAACCTCCAGAACTACAAGAAATAAATTCCTACTGTTAAACCACCCACTCTATGGTAGTTTGTTATGGCAGCCAAGGCAGAAAAAGGTAATACAGAAAGGGACCTTGTGATGCTAAGTGATATACAGAGGTAAAAACACTTTGAAAGGCTTTAAAGCAAAATGCAAATATAAAGAATTATACTGCACTTATTAAATGTACTAATTACATTAATATAATTAAATTATATGGCATTTATTAAATGTACTAATCATCTACTTAAATAACTTGGTGATCAAAATCATCATATATTCCAAGCAAATCTGACAACTTACACAGAAAATCAAAGAACTTTTAAATTCTCAATTTCCCAGAGACTATATATGGAACATTCAATTACTCATGCATGGATTACCTGTATTTTAGCAAATTACCTACCTTCTCCATGGCAAATCTCTCATTACTGTTTTATGTCAGGTTTTCCCCCAAAGCTTATGATTTACCTGCAGCTATATCTGTCTTCTCAGTTCCTCTTAAATGTTTTCACTCCAGCACAGCAACAGACACAACTGCCATAAAAGATAGTCCTAAAAACCAGCAGATAATCCACTACCACCTCTCAACAGTTGATAATGATATATTCTACCCTATGGCTCATTAAGTCTGACTGCATCAATCATGAAAATTATCATCAGCCATAAGCCCAAAAGAAATTATATTCTAAACAGAATGTATACAAAAATAAAAACCACAAATTTAAAGCCATAAAACGCAAAGCTACTAGCATTCACTGGTATTACATGCTTCAGTCATTTAGAATAAAAATCGAAAGGTGAAATGCAATCTTTATTCTTCTTTTTTAAGACTATAAATGAATTCATGAAAAAAAAAAAGTTTTTTTTAATCACATAAGGTTTGGTTTTTTGGGGTTTTTTTTGGTAAAGGTAACAAATAATCCATAAACTGGGTAATCATCTCTTAGGTTACTAAGAATTTGCTATATTTCACTTTAAATCAGTATGTAATAAATTCCTTATAATGTTCACTGTGAAAAAAATGTGCAATTATTCCTGCAGTTATTTCCCAACACAAATAGGAAATGTTTATAAAGTTAAGAAAGAAATTATTCTAGCTCACACAAAGATTTTTTAAGTAAATTCTAAAACCAATCAACAGATAAATATTTTGAAGAACTATCATAACAATGTCTGATGCAGGACTATTAAACTGAATTTTAAATTTTTATACAACTGCAACTTATAATAAGAAATAGCAAATCACAATATGCACTTTTAAAAATTTACAGATTTTAATAATGAAATATAGGTGTATCCCTGCTCTGTAGGTTCATTTTATACCAGTTAGATTCCTAAAAACCTGAGTATATATTTACAGTGGAGGAAAGGGGTGGTAGATAGTATTTTCCAAAGAGGCCACACCAATATATATTCACCTTAATTGCTCTTCTGACAATGTGACAGTGACAGATGACCACTAAAAGGAGAGTCTATTTTCCTTTCCACAGAATCTGCAATTGCCACAGTCAACATAAGGAAGCAGAAGTAACAGTGTACAGCTTCTAAGGTTAGATCGTAAAACACAGTGCAGGTGTCACTTGTCTGTCTGTATCTGTCTTTATGTCTCCCTCAGGACTCATACCCTGCATGCCTTGAGAGTTTTTTCATCATTAAGTCTGGCTACCCTGAAACCACCCATGATAGAGAAGAACATGGGAGAGGTCACACAGATATTACAGAGCAGAGACAAACTGTTCCCCAAACTGTCTCCAAATCCCCAATCCACGGAAGCAATGAACATATAAATTTCTACACACCAGTAAGTTTTGGGGT